AAGAGCAATTTATAACCAAGTATGACAGATACCACCATCTGTCAGTTTGCTAGGATGCTGTGTGTTGTCTTGTGTGTTGCTATGATGCTGGAAGCTTGCACATGTATTTCAACATGCCAGCAGTGTCCCCACCGGTGACATCATAGAAGGGTAGATTTCAATGGATTTTCCAGATTAAGACTAGAAAGATAGGCCTAGTGATCTACTTTTAAAAATCAGTCAATGAAAAATCCATGGATCATAATAATTTCTGATAATGTGCTGGAAGATGAGTCCCCTATGTTGGAAGGCACTCAAAATACACAGAGGTGGTAACAGTGGATTCAAATATACCAGTGATCATGAAGATGGCATGGACTGAAAAAGGTTTCACTGTGTTGTACGGAAGGTTGTCATGAGTTGGAGGTGACTCATAGATAACTAATAACAACAACCATAGTGTCTTGGATGGTGAAGGAAAGAACTAGAAGAGCAGGATAAGGGGATGGGGCAGATGCTTCCTTAAGGTGAGATTCCAACAAAGACTTGATGGAAGTCTGAGCGAGCATTGTGGATATCTGGGGAAGAGCTTTCCAGGCAGACAGGCTTGTGCAAAAGCTCTGGGGAGAAGGGGAGGTGCTGATGGGTGGACTGTCTGGATGGTTGATCAAACAGCATGGAGGCCGTTATGGTTGAAGTGTAGTGAGTGAGGGGGCCAGTATAGGAAGTAAAGTCTCAAAGGTGGAGGTGGGGCCAGTCATGCAGGACTTTTGCTCAGAGAGAAATGAGAAACCATTGGAGGGTGGGTGTAACATGGCCAGATGAGAATCCCTCTGTTGACTGGCCGCTGTGTGGAGAAGAGATTGCAGAGAACCATGGGTAGAAGCAGAAAGGACAACTAAGAGTGGTTGCAATAACTCTGGCACACAGTGAGAGTAGCTTGAACCAAGATGGTGGCAATAAGGTGGTGAGAGGTGGTCATGTCTTGACTATTATTATTTTTTGCCTTTCATTATCAGTGTATTTATTTATTAATTGTCTAAAACAAAAACTTATTGCAATTCCACTCCTAGGTATATGCCCCAAGTATTTTAAATCAGTGATACATATACACCAATATTCATGGCAGCATTGTTTTTAATACCTAGAGGTAGAAACAACCCAAGTGTCCATCAGCAAATGAATGGATAAACAAAATGTGGTACACATACTAAATGGAATATTAATAAAACACAAGAGAAATGATGCTTGAACACATGTTGCAACATGGACAAACCTTGAAAACATTTTGTTGAATGATAGAAGTTAGTCACAAAAAAACAAATATTGTATAATCCCACTTAGATAAACTATACAGAAGAGAAACATGCATAGAAACATCAGTTTATTAGTGATTACCAAGGCTTGGGGAGGAGGGAGTGGGGGTTATTACTAAAAGTACCAAGTTTCTGTTCAGGGTGGTGAAAAACTTTTAGAAACAGTGGCGATGACTTTACAACATGGTGACTATAATAATTAGCATACACCTAAAATAGACAAAATGGCAAACTTTTAGTTATACACATTTTATACAATTAAAAGAACAAAAACAAAAGACAATCATCTATTATCTCATGGACTCTATGAGTCAGGAACATGAAAGTGGCTTAGCTGGGTGGTTTGGGCTCAGGGGCTCTGATGTAGTTATGTTCAGGTTGGCAGCAGGGCCACAGTCGTCTGAAGGTTTTGAGTGAGGCTGGAAGATCCACTTCTAACATGGTGCACCCACGTGGTTACTGGTGAAAGGCTTCAGTTCCTTGCCACATAGACTTTTTTAAAACAAAGCAAAACTTTTTATTGTAAATTGAGTGAAGTTTGGTCAAGTTGTTTTTAATGTAAATACCTTACTGAAATAGTTGATGAATAATCTACACATATTTTGAAAGTAGTACCATCAGGATTGGAGGAAGACTCATTAACAACCTGCGATATGCAGATGATACAACCTTGATCGCTGAAAGTGAAGAGGACTTGAAACATTTACTTATGAA